CATTTTTCATGTTATATGAAAAAAAATTATGTGTGACAGGCAGTGAACAGAAGATCATCTTCCATTTTAGAAACTGACTAAATTTTGCACGGATTTTTCTTATTTAGAAATCGCGCACCAGAATTGTTACCGTAACTTAACTGCCTTATCACGTACCTGGTAATCATTTGGGATATATTGATTCAAGCATGTGTGAAGCTTAACGGGTGACGAGATTATCCATAAGTCATTAATAGTGAGCATCAGCCTTCTATGTCCAAGTACCTTCTGATGGTAACACCTTTTAAGCGACAGCACATTAACTCACTATTTTTGATTGAAAACAAGACATAAAATGAACCTTATTACTCAGTAGTTATCTTTGCAAAATAAAGATATTGTCTAAATTAAAAAAATAACAATGACATAATATGAGAGTAAAACCTGAGCACTATGGTAGAACTCGGTTCCATTTTAGTCGATTTATTTGATTTGTCACGCAGTGGAATAGTATTGTTTATTGGATTACGTTTTGGACAAAAGTTACTGTCCATATTCATATCAAGATAACTACACAACTCTGAGACATCCATCAGATACTTCTAATTTTCTCGCCTTCCCTATGATATGGGTATCAGGATTTTCCATAAATCCCGAACAGGTACTCAGTCATTCTTGTTGCATGTATCGGATGTTGATTCGATAAACGAAGATTCAATCGTCATTCTCTCCCTTCATCCTGTTATGTTAGTTTTAAAGATTTTTAAACTGTCCCATCTTATTGTGTGGTTATGTGTAATTGCATGTACAGCTGTGGTTGAGCTTTCTTTTAAATTCCTCATTTTACTAGGATCTATCAGTTTTGGTAGTGGCGGGCAGTGGCTAGCAGTGGAATCCAAGAGATAATGCTCTACCGGTTTTGACCTAGCTAAATTTTGGTGCTTGAACACCCTAATTAACCCTGGTCGACTACTTTGACCCTTGTATTTGACCTCACAATCATTGCAAGGGATTTTGAAAACTAAATTATTCTGTCTGATTGAATCAGTAGGATCTTCCAACCCACAAAGCTTATTTCTAAGTGAGTTTGTAGACTTAAATGCCTCTCATACCCCAGCCTTATTGAGAATCCTACTTAATATCTCAGAAATACCTTCCTTGTACGATAATACTGTAGAGGTTTCAAATTCTGTCTTCACAGTGCTGCCACTTATATTATTAACATCATAACCACTACCATTAACGCCTGTTACTAATATTAGCCAGATTTTCCCTACTATTCCTTAGCAACTCATTAGGTAACTTAGGAGGGTAATCGTTGATGAGTAAGGCGGCCTTAATGTATCTAGTTTCTTCTCTTAGGTCCTCTGTTTTACTAGTACGTTTTCTGACCTTGTTACTTAAATATTTTATCAAGCCAACTTTAACTGACATGGAGTGAGACGATTTGAAGTCTAATTGACGATTCGAGTGTTATTGTTTTCTATAGTGTCTGAGCTCATTTTATTCTGCATTCCAGCATCGCTAATTCCCCGTCACTATTTTCTTATTCATAGGTAAACTGAATCGGGTTAACTACTCAATTTATATGCGTAGAGAAACTATGTATGTGCTGCGATTTTAACACATATGGGAATCATACCTTTGAAGCCGGATAAAGCATTTTTAAAACCATCTATTCCCGACTATCCACAAATATGTCTGCCGTGATAAAGGATATTGGTGATCCTATGGCAACTTCTTCTGTTTGTTCATATTTTTTATCTTGAAACTTGGAAATGTAATTCATCACTTGTGACACAATAGGCTAATAAACGTTGATACCACATGATTGGGATAACTGCTGTACGTCTGGACAATTGTTTGTTGAAATTTGACCGTCTTTGTGTACTCGCCATGACAAGTTATGGAGCTTCCTGATGATTGCCCTATAAATGGTCAAAAGTTTGAACTTGATAATTTTTTGAATATTCAATGCTCATTGAATTTAGGATGAGAAACTTTGAATATCAAGTGATAAAAAGCAAGTGAGACTTATCATAGCAAGTACAAGTGAGATACTTATCTACAACTTACTTCCGCACTTATTTGTCAATGAAACAAAATGACATCTCAGCAAATCGCTTTGACACGAATTTCAGATTGTTAATGTTGAGTTAATAGAAGCTTAAAACAGTTAGTCCCGAAGATAAATTTAAACAACGTAATAAGAAGACGGAGATTATTTGAAACACGTGGTGTATTCAATAGTTATTTATTCCTTAAAAGACATTAGAGATTACACTCTTCCTTTTTGCATGACCTCCACTGATTAGTTATGTCGATGTTCAATCTTAAAATAAGATTGTACTTTTGTATTTGTACAACCGTATGATCATTTCGTTTGATTGAATTACGGCAATGAACATCAAGAGATGATTGTAACTTAAATTCTCAATTCACAACTCAAAAGGGCTCAGATGTTAAGTAAACTATGGATATTTGATAGACCAAGTGATCAATGTGATATTGTATCTTATGAGCACCTTGACCACACCCTTCTTTCATCTAATGATGTTTACCGAAAACGGTTCACTTGATCCACTGACATTCAAAGCACACACACATTTTAGCTAATTTGGCTTCACGCCTATGTTAAGTTTGAGAAGGAGTCCGGGATATTTCACCCTCCAATGCCTCTAACAGTTCGCTTAACCAAATAAAACTGTTTATTTTGGAAAGCCTACTATCCTGAGAGGAACTTGTAGAATCAACCAGCTACTACAAGCATCCAATAGTACATCACCAATGTACTAAAGTCACACTAACTAATTAAGCGCTAATATCGCTGAGGTGTTCCATCGTGGTTTTTCTGGCTCTCACCCTCCCAAGCATAGTTCACAACTTCAGAGGTTTCAGAAAGCATCCATTCGCTCCACCTAAGCTCTGCATACGGGACATGGCTATATCACAGAAAGTGCAGTTGATGCGTCTGGTATTTGTATCTTGGAAATCTAAAGTAAAGCAATATGATTTCACCTCATATTTGGCTGTCTGAACATCTGTCTTCATCGTTCTCTTTAGTTTTTAACCCTCAGTGGTTCATGCACATGTAAGACTCGTTGATACATGTTTTTAAATAGGTCTAGTGAATCATCCACCAGTAGATTAAAAACTGTCGGCCCAAAATAAAACATACATTTAATCGTCAATCAAACCAAAGAAAGCCATCAACCAACCAGCTGAGGCTGGTAGTAGGTTGGTCGGAGTCAAAACCATACCCGAATAAACTAGTAAGTGTGCATGGCGGCCGAACACAGACCAACTTTTGGCAGATGGTAATACTCATAGCACAGTGAATGGACGAATGAGTAGCCCGCCGACACAAAAAAACCTGACGTCAGTCAATCCTGATCCTTTCGGCTATAGCAGACAGACAGAGCCACCGATTGTACTGAACATTCATAGAAAGTGATTAAAGAAGAATCACTGCCATGCTATAAACTAGAAAACTAACTTCAAAGTCAGTTTATTTGCTTGCTCATGTATTATCTACTAGGTATTTGGTGTGATTACTGTTTTTATATTGTAAGTAGTAGTAAGGAATCTGAATGCTTCTAATCGTAGTGTAGAACTAATGATCAATTCATGCGTTAGCTTATTCACATCTCATAGAATACATAGAGAGGAAAACCTAAGGCAAATAAAGAAGTGAAAAATTTTTATTGTTAGCAGTCTGAATGTGATGAACAATGCTCAAGAGCTCTGAGGCACTATAAGTCTTTTTCTTGAAGACCTGGTAAATTTGTCACCAGTGAAGAAAACTTTGGGTAGGTTCAGATGTACAAAATTTCAGCAACTATTGTTCACAATGACAAGATGATGGGAGAAACAAAATAATCGGTTGCCTTTATCTTACATACATAAAGGTCTAATATAATTGTCAGCATCTGTGGCTGTAAGACACAGAATGTTGTTTATGAATATTTAAATTATCATGAAGTTAATTAATCTCTTTTATAAGTGACACTTTTCGCCTGAAAGATATTTTCGTTAGATGTCTAGCACCCAAAGAGACAATAATTTGTTTCGATCACTTTATTTCTGTTTAGATTTACCTCTTTTGTTTCATGGCATAAATCGAACAATTGCAAAAAACATAATTCAACATTCTTTTTTTATTTGCACTACCTACAGTAAACCCTCATATATCATCCAAAATAACTGAGACAGATTTTCCCGACAGTTTGTTTCATGTCTTATTCTTCCACGCTTTACACAAATTGTTCGCTTTTAGTAAATATTTAGATTTTGAGGTATGTTATATGAAATAACACTGCGTCTATATGTTCCTAGTTTTCGGTCGGTTAACTATCGAGTCTGTTGCTTATAAATGAAGACAATTTCATATGATTCTAAACAGTACTAACTTTTGGGCAAGACTACTTCGATTAACTTGTTGTCTCTAGGATGTTCTATAGTAAACTAAAAATTAAGAGACATATAAAAAACCAATGAGGAGATGATAAGGAAAAAATGCATCAAAATTTGAAAGATCAAACTTATTTACTCCAAAAAAGTAAGATTTACTAATGTTTTACTGTGTACAATTACATAAATGCCATGATATCTTACAGTAGAGATAAAACCTGTATCTGAAAACGGTAAGGAAACTACCTAATAACCTATCTGGAGACTAACTCCGGGTTCGTAAAGTTCGTTCAACGACAGCTCCCTCTACATATGATGTTAGATAAAACCATAAATCGATCATATAGGGAATAAAATAATTTCAGGGTTGGTCTTCAGTGTAATATATCTGTTACTAGATAAATGCATAATAGTAAAGCATTTCGTATAACAATGAAATTACCCTTAGGTCAGTTTTGTTTCACGATTGACCTATGCCTTCGAAAGGATGCATTTCTTAAAGTGTTTCACTGTATAACATGTTACGTATTTAATATTTCTTTGTTAGTCAATGCTTATCAGTAATGTTTTCATATGACCCCATACATACCTGAAAATTTCTTCTTTTATAGAATGTCTCACAACTCATGGAGCTCTTAATATCTTCGACCTACGACGTACAGGAGTGAGCTTCCCAAAACGACCAGAATTTTTTGTGCTGATCTGTTCAAGCTTACCACTGGTATTTAGCGTTCTTTCAAGACCCTTATTCACGCCTTTGTCGCCTATGCACAAATATTTCATTTTAGGATGGGGTATGGCACAAACTCGATTCTTCTTTGATTTATTTACCAGAACAGCTACAATCTATCACCTTGTCTACTGGGTGTATCGTACACCAATCATACGTTTAATCTGGTACATCTATTTCATGTGTGATCTCCAGTGCACTAAAATACGAGATAAAGCAAAAACAATGGTGAAGCCACAGAAGTCTGTTATCAAAGCTGTGAAAACACCAGCTAAACGTTATGGTAGACAACAAACCACAGGTCGAGGTCGGACGTCTGAATGGGGTTATGCTGATAAAAGACGAAGATCAAAGTCCAGTAAAGGTGTCCGTACAACTACTGAATCAGTAACATTACCTAATTCATCATCAACCAATACACTGGGTGGTCTAGTTGAGCAGAATAACAATTCAGGTCAAACTGTGAGTTCTGGTGCAGTAAACCTCATTGCACCACAACCCTTATTTGCTGGCCAAAATGGTGCCCTAGGCCTTCCTAATCAGTTATCTCCTGATATGGTGCCAAATCTAAACGGTTTAATGAATCCTTATGGACAGATGATTTCACAGAATATGATGGTTATGGGAGATGGTTATAATGTGTACACAGGAGGTTCGATGGGACAGCAGTTGCAGGGTCAACAACCAAGTCCCTATACAATGGGCATGGGATATGGAATGGGTTACGGGATGTCTATGAATATTGGTAATTATATCAATCAAGTGAATGCTTATAACCAAGCCAATTTCATGCATCCTATGTCTAATGGAATGAATCCTGATACTGGGAAAGATACGTCAACCAATTGCACAACAACTGATAAACCCCTGCTGAATGATACATCAGAAAAAAAGACACAAGTCAAAGCAAAATTCAAAACGGAAGTTCCACCACCAAGCGAACAATTTCTTTATCGTTGTAAACGTATTCTCCCAGGTTGTATTTACATTATCTCCTTTTTAGTCACTTTACCATCGATTGCTGCATTTGAGTCAGATGAAGTAGATGGTATGATCTTAGCTCGGTGCACTACAATGTGTCGTTCTTATTTTTATTATGACCTGGTTGTGCTCATCACCTTACCAACAATTTCTGTAATTATCGCATTTTACTATTCTGCATTAAGTAAAAAACAGATTAATGGTGAACTTAAAATGACCTACCGCTTAAGATGCTACTATGTAACATTCATTTTATTGAACGTCCCAATGTTTGTTTTAATGTTAACGTCTATTGGCTTCCGATTAAGTGAAAAACCGTACCGTAATATCTATGGTACTGGTATATTGATTGCTATGACTGCTTATCATACCAATTTTGCTTTGAAGTCCACCGTCTATACAACTGGATGCAATTGTATTTGTTGTTCTGACAGTTGTTTAATTCGATATCCAAGAGTTAGTCGAACAATTGCTTCATTTACAACACCAGTTGCTGTGAAAGATAAAGAAGCCTTATTAGAAGGTATGGTTATTCCTATACGTCTTGATAAATGAACCAGCCAATTATTAGTGAACTAAAAACTAGTTTAAATTCTCATTCATTGTACACTTAATCAAAATAAGAAGTGAATTATTTTTATCTGTAATTCTCGAATCCCTTATTTTTATTCCTGTTCAGTATTCACTCATTTACAAGCACTAACTTCGTAAAATATTTCATGTTTTTGACTTAATACGGTATAAGTGTTTTCTTTATTTTGTAAGTTAATTAGTGAAGGTCAGTGAAATACTCTGTGCCTTATTTCAGTCAACATAAATTAATGAAATATAGATATTTAGGGAAGTTACTGTTTGATCAGCAAATATATACTGTTGCTTTTTATTTCTTACTTCATATTCCTCATATCAACTTATTAGTTGGTCAGGTTACTTTAGCTTCTGACCTTTATTAAATTGTAAGATGGAATGCTTACCATACAATCGAACAACTATCAACTTCATCAGAGCTTTGTACCACTAATGATTAACTTATTCTGACATATGGTCGAAAGTCTTGAGACTTGATCCTCGGATTTCAACACTTGTTTCTTTTAATGTTTTAACTGTCACGTAATTGCTAGCCTCACCAGCAGAGATCTGCTACAACAATACTATTTGCTGACAGGTACAGGAAAACATTGATTGATTGATCCCTTCACCAGAATTTGTTCCTATTTTGTCGTCTTGAGATTATTTCTGCCAACATCTTTTATATAAACAATCAAACTTCTAATCCATAGACTTGAATAGTTCAGATGTCCTTTAAGGTTGTTAAACCACTAACTCAAATCATTTTATTCGTTCCTAGAAAAGCTAGAGATTACATAAACTAAAACGGAACGTGTAATTCACTGAGACTTGTAATTTTCTGTTGTTATACTGGAATGAATTACTCAATCTATGACGGCAGACGGGCTCCTATGAGGGTACCTGGTTCTCCTACCTCAATCGCCTACAACATAACGCTTTTATGTCCGAAACCATGGGCTCCTAGTTCGAGTCCCATTGGAAACATCAGCACACAGGTTGATGAGTCCCCAAGGAGACTAAAAGCGTAGCTTCAACTCCTCTGTTAGCCACCACCAATTATATCATAACAAATTCGAGCATAATCTTCAGATAATAACAATCGGTTCATCCAGTGGCCCACCATCTATAAACTCTGTATGAATTCCGAAATGTAGATAACATTATTTGTATATCCAGTTGGGATTTGGCGCTAAAAAGATATTATCTTGTTATCCGATATTTCACATTCACGAACAGAAGTTTTACCCAAGGATTTGGTTTCTTTTATTCAAGTCCATGTGATGTAGAGGTACTACAATATTCTGCTTCATCCAAATGAAATCTTCTGGACAGATTTCATAACCTTATTCGGGCTAAACGTGACAATCCACATTTCCTAGTTTAATCGCCCTGTTCATTACGGTTTAAAGTCCATAAATGCCTACTTGGTTGGTACCTTAGTCAGCAGTCCTCGTGAAAATGTTCACAATATACACTATAAGCAAGTATTTGGAAGACATCAGTAAACCTCGGAGAACATGATTTCGATCAAATGCCAACTTGGTATTGACACAGTAGTAGTTTTCACATTTCCATTAACACAAGTGGTATCAGCTAGCTGTATAAGAAACAGTAAGAGCTGTAAAACTTCACTGCACCGAATTCTGTAATAAAATTTCGGACATGCATTGTAACTGTAAGCTATTATTTTCGATTAGCTCTGCAGCGCGCATATTTTACTCAACTCAGCTGAACGGCTTCAATTCAGAGGTAGAGTTTTTGGGTTCACTGTACAAAGCCATTAGTTCTGTAACTGAGACAGTCAAACTGTGCAGTTCAGAAAGCAAATTCCTCCTCTTCACTTTATATTTTGCTGTCAGTGTTCAAAATCCAAGTGATTTACTTGTCAGGATCACGCGTTTACATATTGAATAAGACAAGGCTGGATGTTAGTTGGGTCAAAGTAAGACAAGGATGGTCTTAAAAATATACAGCAATCCTCATGTTAGCTACTACACATCACATACTGTAAAGGTGCGTTTGTCAATCAAGATACCTCTAGTGGGAAAGTGTCCCTTTTCTGAAAATATATATCTGAGTACCTTCTTATTTTTACCTTATTTTCAATATATTATAGCCAGAAATTTTGTAGAAAGGTGTTAAACAGTCGAAATGTAGATGGAAGGGAGAAGAAATGGCGTTGTATTACATGTTTAATTGACATATTACATATTACGACAAATGACAATCTTTTGTCAAGTATTCAAATCTTTCAAGTTCATTATCCTTATTCCTTAGAGAAAATAAAATATGAACTTCAGAGCAGTAATAGTAACAGAAGCAATAGCATTCGTAGTGATAGTGGAAGTGGTAGTAGTATTAGTATTGGTAGTAGTAGTAGTGATAGTAGTAGTAGTAGTAGTAGTAGTAGTAGTAGTAGTAGTAGTAGTAGTAGTAGTAGTAGTAGTAGTAGTATGATGATGATGATGATGATGATGATGATGATGATGATGATGATGATAGTGTTGAGGGCAAAAGCTCATCAACTGTTGTTAACAAGCTGGAAACATATGGACAACGTATGACTACCTATGTTTGTTATATGAACCTAGCATACATATCTATTAGTTGACGATGTGTAGCAGTCCTGAATAGTAATCGAGGTTCATCTACCAAATGAAGTTAGATGGCTAAGAATTTGTTCATTGTTTTATTAAGTAACATTTTATTCATCATTTCATCTTTGAAAGAAGCTGATAATTACTATTGCATTTTGACTTAGTTATTCCATTATTGATATTGGAACGTAGATTTACGAAAATTTCATGAATGAATATGTTTCAGATTCTTGGAGGATAGAGTACATTTGCACTACTCTCCAACCTGTTGATACCGTATCAAGTGAGTTCTAAATGTCATGTGCATATTATGAAAACTAAGTAGAAAGTGAAGATTGATATTTGTTTGCACTGTCAGAAGTTGACGTCTAATCCATGTAAGCACTAAAAACAAACAACTGGTTTGATAAGTTATATTTATACATTATTTTCAAAACAGTTTTAGAAAAGAAGTGTCCTTGAAACTCAGAGCGTTTTATTATCAATTTAATGTATGTCGATAAGAGGATTACTTAAGTAGTGTTTGATACGACATGGTGCAAGGAAATGCCAGAACTTGATAGCTGGTTGGTGAAAGTTATAAGAAACAAAATTTAGCGCCAATCTAGAAAGAAAAGAAACTGAGGGAGAGGAAGGTAACGAAGCCTTACAATGATTATTATTTGCATAAATAACAACAAACGAAAACACACAAAATTTTATCAGTACTGCCTTATCGATGTAAGCGTAAAACTTCGGCACCGTGGTAAATTGCAATCCCATTCTAGTCTGTTTATTAGAAATGTCACACAGTGAATTAATATCATTTGCTGGATAACGTTTCAGAAATTATTTGTTGTCCACATTGGTATCATGTGGTTTCTAATTGGCCTAGCACTATCACTAAATATTTAGACAACTAGTAAGTCGGAGTGTATCTAAAGTCTACCGTAGGCGTGATGCAATAATCCGGTTTATGAATCTTAATTGTACCATACATTCTACTGGGATTATTAATTTTCGGCATTAGATTTAACCATTTTAACTCTCCTAAAAACGGCTTCCTCCGGCGTATCAGATCCCCTGAGGATTTCTTAACCTTATTATCAATAGTATCCACTGATTTCTTAATTTCCTCGTATGGTCTTGCTTCTATATGCTCGTTCACCTTGTAAATGTAGTCAGATTTGTTCACTACAACTAATGAGTTGCCTTTATCCGACTTGGCAATTACTAGATTGTTATCCTTGTGAAGGTTTCTGAGAATTTCTATTTCTGGTGTGGATAAATTAGGCTTCATTTTCTTTTGTCGTTGCCATGTTAGAGCACACCTTGTTCTTACCTCATCTGCAATTGTCTTATCTGGTGAACTAAACGCTATTTCTGTTCTGGGAATAGCATCTTCTAGTTTCAGCTCATTAACCACTATACTGAAGTTAAGGCTTTTCTCTAGCACTTTTACTTCTGTTGGGTTTAGGATTCTGATTGACAGATTGACAACCCACCACTGGTGATGTGCTTTTGTTAATTTCATTATGGTTGAGTGCATACTCTTCTGCCATAACTTTTTTAAACCTCCTAATTTAAGTATTTTTGGATTTCTTGGACGCAGCTGATCTTGCTTTATTTTAGGCGTCAGTCAGAAGCTCAGAGTCTTTTTTACTAACTGTTTGTATCAGCTTACATTCAAGTTTTTCGATTTAATTCCTGATAATGTGCAACTTTTTGACTATTCTGTGTATCTTTTCTTTAAGATAGAGTTTGCTTACCCGTTCTATAGTTGTTCTAACTTTTTCTGTTAGAATTAACGCACACAGAAGTGGATATTTAGGAATGATTTGATTTCTAAGGCATCAAATATTGAATTTACAGTGGTTTGTGTGTATCTACCTTCTGTCTGTGAAAGTCATATGAGTTTGGTGATTAGTCTTTGAACAGGAAGACCATACGTTTCATTAATATAGTGGTAAAACTTGGGCACTATGGTAGATTGAAATTTCATTTTAGAAATTTTATTAGAAATGTCACACAGTGAATTCATATCATTTACTGGAAAACGTTTCGGACATAATTTATTATCTTCATATGAAGATAAGAATATGGACAATAAATTATGTCCGAAACGTTATCCAGTAAACGATACTGTTTCACCGTGTGATGTTCCTAATAACCAGACTAAAATGTAAGTGCTGCCTGATGTTTACTAAGTAGACAGGTAATAATATCCTCCATGTATTGTTTTCTGTAGCACTACTAGTTATACGCTGTCATTAACCTGATGAACACCCTCAACATAATTCGTAAATCAAGCAAGACTTGGATGCAGTGGTAATTTTCAGCTGCCCAGAATACATAAAAGGCCGAAATTGAGATGAAAATTGCGCCAATAGACGAATTAATTGACCTTTGAATGTAGTTGCAGGAAAGCGCTATGAATGAAAATGATGATCAGAAGATATCACTAATAATTTCCGCTACTTTTCTGTTGCATCTTGAATCCTAATTCTTAAATACCTATTGTTAAGACTTGACTGTCCAGTTTATTAATCTTTTGGTTTCCACTATAACTGGGACAAAGTGAATCGTTCTCAAACTATCTTAGCTGAATGTTTTCCTTGTCTTTAAAATAGCTTTCTGAAATTCAAGTCCTATCGTCTTGAAACGGTAACTTCTTTAAAAACATTATCTAGTAGCCCATAATCTACAATCGACCAAATAAAAAGTCATCACATTATTTTGTAAAATTCCTTGATTATTACCTATGCAAAAATCAGGGGAAATGAAAGCCAATCTTAAAGTATTGCAGCGAAGTGGTTTGTTCCATTTTTCGGAAACATGAATCAATTATTAAGGTGTGAAATGATTTTATTTCACAAAATTTCAACGTCAAAAGTTATAACCAATATCCTACTGTCTAAGTGAATTAACTATAAAGCTTGGTTGCACATCTAGCCAGTGATACTAAAGAATAGACGTTTGATACCGAAAAGCAACCCGTAGAAATAAATATGAGACAATAACAACACCAAGGCAGAAGCGACCAATCACACAGAAGGCTATCAGGACAAGTTGCTAAATAACTTGTGCAGTAAACCTTATAGCTTACTTTTTTCTGAAGTTTGCGCTGATGATGTTATCCAGAATGACAATGAAAGATTTACGATTAAACCATACATCTCAGAGAACACAACACCATCAAAATCAAAAAAAACATGTTTGAACGTGATGAGCGATCGACTGATTCTGTTTCACAGATAATCTTGTCGGAATCTCTATGCCAGGGGATAATGGGATGTGAAAAATCATGAGCAACTAGAAGAACGTACCTACTTGTTGACTGTGATTCATACGTGACATAGTTAGGCAAATTATTTTTCCAAAATAATATTCAGTAAGTAAACACCTAAATAACAGGTTAATGTTAACCGAAAATCTTAAAGCTTATGTGGTTTTATACATTAGAGTAAACTGGTGACAGATGCAATCAAAACAAATCTCTGAATTAACACATTTTCTTATAAGCGCGTTAACCTTTTTTAAACTAAATAAACAGCCCAGAGAAAATGATATGGATTCAATGTATTCCGTTGATTTTCATCAACTATTTAAAACCAGCAGCATTTAAACTTAAAATTGCGATTCACTTTCGATATAACTTATTATGTCAACAAAAAGCCACTAAGTGAATGGCGAAGTGAAACTGGTTAACAGCTTACTGAATCAAAAAGAGCTACAAAAACGAACAAGGTATACTGTGATGTTTCCAAGAAGGCATCTTCAGTGCTTTGACAGCCAGTTCCTAGTTAAAATAGCACCACTGTATATAAAACGCACACTTCGTTTAATTTCATTTAGCTTGAATTCCAAGTATGAACATTAGAATTGCCTTAAAAGCCTATAGAAGTCGCTTATCAGCTGCATTCAGACTATGCAACATTTAATGAAGACTGAGTTTAGCAAAATTCATTTTATGAATGCAACTAGAAGAATACTGTAAATACATTCCATTGCAGCAACGATCTCAGTTGCGTTAATGTTTAAATACATAAGCTGGATCTTTGTGAATTTCAGTGGAAAGCCAACCCGATTGATTTTTATTTTTATGAATAAGTATGAAAGTAGATATATTTGACTCAAGCCTGAGAAGGTGTAATTGATGTCTAACGATGAGATAGGATGATGATTGCACTACACTCTAATTCGATAGAAGTTCAATAAAAGGACTGTTACATGGTAATATGATAGCCATAAAACCTGATGATTTCCGACTCGATTGCTCACAGAGTGGAGAATGAATACTACTGCTACTACCCTCCGACTTACACCCATTCCACTGCATCTCGACGGTAGGCTTGATGACCACATCGTGAAATCATCGATAGAATTTGATCAGCAGTTAGAACTAGAATGCATGAATTTATTTACCCTACGGTAGCTAATCAGTGTGTAGTATTCAGTTCTAGAGGAGATTAATCGCAGCCCAAATAGCTCATTTTTAACGTCTCAGAGCGCAGCACTAGGTGATGGGGCTTGGAATGCTGAGCGGAGCATCGTTTCCTTTGAGGGTGAAAAACATCCTTCCTCCAAGTTTCAACAAGCACGACATGAAGGATGAGCAGTGTTCCCTGTTGATTGCCTCCATCCAGGATATCTATCGGTTTTCAGTCTTGTGGTTTATTTATACAGCTTTAAGAGTGTCTCTGTGTCGACCCAAGTTATGCCTTCTTAGTTATACCACGAAAACCATTACGGTTAGAGTCAGTGAAACTTAAGTTTTCTTTGAAATTTTACAGGAACGAAGTTTAATTGTTTACACATCACAGTAGCATTTGTGTTTACCAACAATCAACAACAGGGCATCTTTTACTACAGACTATTTGATGCTGCTTATGAAAGTTGTTAAATGCATTTTAGTTATTCTATTTTGCATTGAGTGTAGTTATTGGGATATAATGAATGAATATTCAAATAGAGTAGTATTTAGCTAGTAAATAGTTTCTCAGTATCATTTACTGAATTATCACCATAAACCACCTTCAGCCTTTTAGGTTATCAACAGAATACAATTAAGTAACAATTTTTGAAGGATTAAGATACCAACTGGTATGTCAAGTACGAAGTGCTGAGACTGTAATAATTCTTCCTTCCTTCATTAATACGCATGCATACATAGATAAGTAAACAGCATATCGTAATTTCATGCTTTTTATGATGATTTACTATGGAAAGTTTCCATAAATCATAATAACATGTGAAATAGTAGAAAGTGCATGTGTGCAGTGTTTGGCTGTATAAAGACATTTCAGTATAACAATTCCAGTGAGTGGTTGGCTTTGCATTTTATGAGTGAAACGAAGCGAGAAGAAGAAATAAGGAATGTGTCACTTTTGCCTGATAATTTGACAGAGGAACAGTAAAATATACATGAAGAATATGAAGTGATGTTTGATAGCCAAGTAGATTTCTTTTTCTGTTGGCAACTTCTCTTTATTCAGTCAATTTTCATTAAGGTTTTATATCTTGAAGGTTTCTTGTAATGTTACAAAAGTATATATTAAGTGTGAAAATGCTGTTTATTTACCACCTGACTATGTCTTGGAAGAAATAGACGGCATATAAATCTATCACACACATTGCATTTCCGTAGTTTCCTCCAATATTTACAGCTAGAATTCATCCACGAAAAATACTTTGCTTGGTATATATTGTCTTTAATAAGTTGTCAGTAAGATGCCTAGGATTTTGGCAATTAAATAAGATAAGAACTGGATTGTAAATGTCAAATGCTTTTAGTATATAGATACTTCACTTTATTACCTTACGAACTATTACTTAATCTCTCTTTTATTCATAGAAACAGTTGTTTTTCCCGATTCTCAAATAGAATGCTACGGGCAGAAATTCACCATAATAACAAATAGAAGTTTTCAGTAGGCATGTTAAAAATATATTCATAAACATACGATTTTGCAGCTGTAGGGGATTACTCAGCTGAGAACGAAAATTCGTCCAATCTCTGCTTTCTTACCTCACCAATTTATCAATGGTTGTGTAGAACAACAGACTACTCTTTTACACTCATTCTAATAAAAATGTAGGAGGAAGATTTAACGTATCTCATTTTATCTCTGCCACTGAAAGCTGATTCTCACAGTGATCAGTATGAATTCCAACTGGAGCTACGAACTATCTTCCTTTCTTGCACACTCTCTTAATGTAATACAACGCTTGTTTTTTTCATATTCTCAGTACCTTAAGTTCACCAAATTCACAGTAGTTGTCCATAGGATATAATAAAAACATCTGGTAAAAAATATCTAAGAAAAACATTTGGTATAAAATAATCATACTCTATGAAAGAATAGTTCTTATGGAAAAAAATGTGCATGAACTAGGACTTTATTTCATATCCACTACATATTACTTCAAAAGCGCGAAAAATTTTGACAACAGTCGCAGCCAAAGTAGTTGTATATCTTTAGGTACAAACGACCTTGAAATGATCGAATGAAAACACCAACATGAAAGGAAGTTAAAAGATTTCTGGATTACCTAAAGTCTCACCAGTTTTTTGAATGACTCCAGAATGTCACGAAAATAATCCGAGCCAATAAAATTAACAAGTTAGACATCCAACGAATTTTAACTTAAATCAAACAAGAATAACAATTATAGCAAAATAGTATGGATACGTTTTATTTTGAGATTTCTCATCAACAGCTTACAACCTAAGACAATTTTAATATCAGTTTATACAAATGTTTGATGAGAAATTATTGGCTTGGAATGAAAATAATATTGATTTGATATTATTAAAGACACATGAATTGAGCGAATAAATAAGAGAGAACTAATGATAAACTTTTCAATATATACAGAAGGCTTAAATGAATATTCTAGAATGGAATTAAGATAAGAAAAGGTGACAAATGTATTCAACATATTGAGAAACAAATACAACTAAAACAACAAGTTTAAGTTCAAGCTAAATCAAAGAGTTAATCGATTGGATCCAGTATAACAACAAGTAGTTTCAAGTATCAACAAATAATAATATTGAGAAACATTACATAAAATATATTATAAAAAGATTATACGATTTACTTTAGTTAAAAATTAGGTGAGTAGAATGCAGATAATCAGGTCGGTTGGCATAAAGTGGGGAAACAAACATGTATGAATTGGTAATTATAGGTAAAAAACGATGACTATCAACAACGCGGAAGTTTTTACTATGGTAGGTACACAGACTGATGACTGTTTCTTTCTGAATCCATGAGTTTATGGACTACTGCTTTAGCTAAGCGCTTATTCTACTCTAACCAAAGAATCTTCAATGTGTCACAAAGTCTCAACTCGAGTGTATCAAAAAAATTATTTCGAAGTTGAGAACAGAACAGGGTATCTTTGAAAAGACTGTTAGATAACTCAGCGTTGTATGCCGCGTCACATTCATCATTTTCGTCCGGTATGTCTAGTTGAAAATCAGTATAGCTGTTACAAAAACACTGTCCAGATTTATTCTATTAGAAAAACCATGTGATTTCATTCCTGTGAATCATGAGAATGAAGAAATCACCATTAGGAATAAAAATGACTACTTGCACAAAATCCTGATGGTTTTGAGCGGTTCCTTGAGACTTAAAGGATGCGACAGTTTCAATTAAGAACAAAGCAAGCCTGCGCTTCGGGCAACTATTAACTAAGCATTTGGTTGATGAAGCAACCTATAATCAGTTTAAACTAAGAGGTTCGTGACTATCCTTCATGTAATGGCCTTCCAAAAACCCATAAGTCGAGTTTTGTCACAGACTTATTTTGTGCTCGATAAATTCACTTTGTCACAAAATGGCTCACTGGTTAGCGAAAATATTGCAATCCATCAGAAGAAGGTCCCAGGGCAATTCTCTTAAGATCTGGATAGAGTAAATATCTCAGATAAGTTCATGGTATCACTTGATATTTCCTCATTGTTTACGAACATAAAATGGATGAACTGACAGACATGATCTCTTAACAGTTTCATCTACTCCCACTGCCGAAAGTAAAACTCAAACAATTACTGCTCCTCTGTAAAAAAGATGTTCAATTCCGATTTCATAATCAACTATACTTACAGACTGATGTAATGGTTATAGGTTTCCCACTAGAACTTATCTTAGCTGATATATTTAGGCCTCATCTCAAACGAACATTTCTGAGCTCTGAGATGAAGCAAACAACATATTGATGAAGCTATGTCAACGATACTTTCATTCTTTTTGATAATATGAATCACGTGTCATAGTTGTTCACTACCTTCAACCAAGCTCTTTCAAATATGAATTTCGCAATGAAATACGAAAATGAGGACAGATTCAATTTTCGGATCTGAGTATAAGTTATTGGTGTGACTGTACAGTTCAAAAAGCTATCCACAGGAAAAACGTGTGGGTTAGTCATTATCTTCACTCTAACAGTTTTTGTCCTATCAGCTGTAAGCGTGGTCTAGTCAGGAATCCCTTCGCCGAAATAAAAGCATTATGAACACAAAACAAACAACAAGAAGAATTCGGTATCAATGAGAAGGCCCTTAATGAGAGAGGAAATTCGAAGGAATTCATCATGAAGCATGGAAAAGGATCTATTGAGAGACCCAAACATCTAACTGTTGAGAAGCCTATTTTTCTTCTTCCAGAATTCAAAGATGATGAGTCTTCTGAAAGAATAGACAAGAATGAAGGCTACACTGAAAAGGAGCTTCCCTGCTGACAGACTAATCTCAGTCCAAAATAGGGTGTGCTCAATAACCAACCAGCTCATATCACCTTCAACTGTAGCTACCAATTCACGTGAGGTTGTGGAAGCAAGGATATAGGAAGGATTGCAAAAAGGGTGTCAGTTTGATTCTATGAGCGTACTCTGAGAAATCTGTCTCAAAAACAGCAAGATCTTTACGACCACTACCGTTAGGCACCTGACGGGAAGAGGATATCAAAAAGATGTTTCTCAATCCTTCAGGATGATCAGAAACCAAAAACACCATGTTTATTATGGTTCACGGAAGCTTTTTGACCTGACCTATCTACTCACAAAGAGATTGTAATTAACCTTTCTTTACTCTTGTAAGTATACATAATTTTTTACATATGCGTGTTCTTTTTTTGATTGCTTCATCTCTTCATTAATTACTTACTGACTGTTAACCACTTAACCTGTTTTCCAGTTTTTTCATGTGTGTACTTAACCTACTAGCTCTGTAATAACCCCTTCTTTTAAACTCCAGTTTGCTTATTATCCCCTCTTTTTCACAGCTCCACAGCCAGAGATTTTTACTAAGGTTTGTGGTTAGTAATCTTGTGTTTTGTTGACTCACTCCTTTATAGTTAGTCCCAGATTTCAAATCTGCATTCATTTCTATCTAAAGTATGCTATACCATTTTTACTAATGATACTTTACTTCACTTGTAGGCTGTTTACAGCTGATCAAAGCCTGTGAAATAAAATGGGCTCATTTTATTCTGCAAATGTCTTCATTTTTTGCATTATTCAAATTTATCAAGTGAACTAAACGTATGACAAATGATTTTTCATTTAACAAGATGCTTCATGGTCTAGATTTCAACGAAATTGATAACTTCGCTTTTCTGTTACTCCTTGGTTATTTACTTTCACCCCTCAACAGACAAAATATCGATCAAGCAACAAATTTCTTAGTTTTACACGAATCTCGGAATGTCGTGTCTGAATCGGTTGTGATTAAGGGTGTACAGTGTCAACACGCAATGCCAGACTTCGTAAATTTATTCAGCCTATCCGATACCCACAAATGGATTGGATTTATATAAAGTGCACGTCAATAAAACGACAATTCCAAAAGCATAAAGGCAACATACTCCGTTGCACAGCAATCTTAAGGCATTCCGAAGTCTTGACCAGAAATAACGTTCATTATTATGTGAAATTACTCAGTTTCCAATCGATCGTAAACAGGCCTAAGTTTAGAATTTAAATTTCAAGCTTTGTTAACAAAATTCATTGCTTTATTCCAGTGTGGTACTAACATACACAGATGTCCAACATCTTACCTGTAAAATCATCCGAATGTAACGGTTCTTAATGTAGATACTACAAAGCTTCTTTGGCAGGATACTTGATAGTTAACATCAACTTTCAAAATACTGTTTGAATGAAGAACAATTTACAGATGTCCGGCAGACGTGTATAAGCATTCAGTTTAAATCATTAGGAATATCCTCTAGCTGATTATCCACAGGAGATTGATGTTGTAGGTGTTTACTTTTAGTAGACAACTGCTTGCTTTTAACTTCAGTTTTTTGTACATGGCTTGGCTTCTTTGTATTTATGAGTTGAAAATTCCTCAAGTAAGCGTTATATTTCATGAATCATCAAATCCATTAAAAATCATAGGAAACTAAAAGTCGGAGATGATTAGTGAAATATTATCCTCACTCGCAATAAAAGCTTTGTATGTCGAAGAAAATAATTATTTACCCATGAAAATATAGCCATCCTATGATTCATTAATAGTTCATTTCTGATATTCGGATATAGAATGCAGTGAAGCTAACTCAATTGGTGCGTCAACAACGCTATTCATAGCCAGGTTTGAAACTACTGATCAGGCAACTACTAAAATGGCTGAATTTTTAAAGCGCAAACACCAGACAAACCTTTGTAGTGTTCTTAATATTATGCTTACTTTCTGACACTTAATGTAATCACATAAAAGTTATATCAAACTACGAACTGTGATATGATTTACATTTTAAAATTTCTGAATCTATTATGAGATAAATTTGCATGATCAAAACCAAATCTCCATTTTCAGTTGATTTTTTCAGTCTATTAACACCTGTGAAAGATATTTGGAGATATGAAACTGGATCTGAACAAAAATAGGCAAAACTACGTGTTCGTAACCTTCCAAAAGTTCCCATCAATACTAACATTTAGGAAATGCAGCGGATTTATAATAACACTTAACATTTCTAAACATTTTGACTGACAAATCAGATTACGTTATAATTCATCTTTCACTGTAACTACAGTATTTTAAAACTATTGACCAGTAAAGATTGTTTAGATATTTTAGGAATATCCTAACTGACCTAAAGCCACGTAATGAAGAAATGAGGTACGATTGTCTTGGGGATCTGTTTTCTCGCTTTGATGAAAGTTTTCAAGGGGAATCTACGTGATAATTCTTTTGATTCACTCAAATCACATTACTAACACCAATAAATTAGGCTTGGAACCTAATTCTATTTCCCAAAACTGGTAGCTGTAGTAACTGTTATCTAAAACTGCAAAAAAAACAGAAAAACAACCACAACTTCGACTGCAGTTACTAGTGGAGCAGTAGCTAGAAAAAGTGTTAATTCGTCTATTCTACTTCAGTGTGAATTTCAGAAAATGCTAGAAAGAATAAAAATAGAGATGATTTTTTAGATATTTGCCATGTAAGATATGGACTGAATATTTATCCTTAAGCTAGTTCAGATGTCAAATTATTGGCATTTTGTCATTTCATTCCTAATCAATATGTGGGAAGACAATTCCTTCGCGTTAAACTTGGCAGCTACTGGTCCAGTAAAATAACTATATAAATAGCGATATTTTCTGTTTATTT